GTGAAACTTATTATTATTTGAAATGTCTTATTCAAGACGATTTTAATTGTATATTGTAATATAGAATCTAGGAGGTAAGGTAGCTTTCAAATTGGCACTCTCACGGTGGATTTAGTGAAGGTCAACCAATTTATAGGCACATATCTTAAGTACGTATTGTACATTAGATTATTGAGGATTTATTGAAATGCTTGTATGTGACAATGTTGTTTTACAAGGATAATAAAACTTAACTGTAGATGTTTTCTCCCCACATTCCATTTAATTTATCCATTGCGATTCTAAATCAGAGGTGTGTAAAAAAAATGGCATTTCAGATTTACAGTGCCTTGCAAAAGTCTTCACCCCCTGTGCTGGTAATAAATTTTAAGTATTTTCTTGTGAAAGACATAACTCAAAGGGCCAAAAATATTTATTATATTCATCTCAGACCAGTTTCTAATTATTACAAAGAACAAAAGGTGTATTGTTACTCACTTTGGTGAGATAACACAAAATAATCTTGAAAACACATGTTGCAAAAGTTTAACATGATTATGCAGTTAATATTTGGTTGAAGATCCTTTGGTAGCTGAAAGTCGTTTTGGATAACCATCCAGAAGCTTTGCACAGTATCCTGTAGATATACTCCAGTTCTTGTAGGTTCTTCAAGTCTCTCCATAGATTTTCGAGTGGATTTAGGTCTGGGCTTTGGCTTGGCCAGTCAAGGACTTTAATTTTGTTTCTCAGAACCCATTCTCGGGTTGCCTTTGATCTGTATTTGGGATCATTGTCCTGTTGAAATGTAAACCTTCGACTGACTTCTTCAGGTTTATCTCCAACATCTGTGTATATTTTGCACTGCTCATGATCCCTTGAATGCGTACAAGTTCTCCAGTGCCAGCTGCAGAAAAACATCCCCACAGCATTATGGGCCCACCACCACGCTTGACAGTTGGGACTGTATTTGCCGCGTTATGAGCAGTGTTGGGTTTCCGCCATACATACCGTTTGTAATTTAACCCCAAAAGACTTTTGCTAGGCACTGTATCTTTTATCTCTTAAATTTCACTGTCCAGTAAGTTTTCGTTAAATACTCGAAGTTAACAGGTAGGTTGGATAATGAGAGGTAAAATAATACCTGATTTCGAGCCGCAATGGACAAATTAAAGAGAATATGGAAATAAATAAACATCCGGAGTTAACTTCTTTTCATAGTTATTCTTAGGCCTATTGGTTTTCTAATATATTGAAGGCTTTTGTCATTTAAACCTTAAGGATAATATAAGTTCTTAATAAATGTCACCAAACTATAACTTGTGATTTTTAAGGTTGTAATTCTAAGTTGTTTTCTAAATTTGTGTATATATAATTCAGAGCTTATTTTAGGGTTTTAAAAAATATTTTGAAATTTACCTGTTTTTGTTTTAGGCTTACTGCGGTATTACTTGTTTAACTGGTCATACTATATTCTACTAATACATAATTTTTCTTTTACATATGTCTCAAAAACGTTTATTTAGTTGGCTAGTTTAATTAGCTAGACAATATGCTACCTGAGCTTTGTTTGCCACAGAGAATAAGTCCGTTATAAGTTCGGAGACTTTCTTCTGACCCATTGGGAGACATATCGTAAAAGAAACAGGGTAGTGCATTGAAATGTTGATAAAGTGGCGCCATCTAATGAATATTGTTATATATTCTATAGCATGGTTTTGTTACTTATTGAATAATATGTACTGCATATTTATACGGCGATTAAAATTACCCTTTGATAGCTTGAAGAACGATCAATACTTCGAATAATGGCAGTATAAAAAATACGTGATAGTATATGGTAATTCCAAGCTGAACGGTATCTTTTATGACACATGGGCTAAAAAGTGTCAGAAGCCCACAGGTTCAGGCATAGCCATCCTTAATTTTGAATTACTGATCCGGTGGAGATCAGTTAGTAAATAGCACCTTTTGTATACACAACTACGTTTTTCAAGTAAACAGTGAGTATGGCTGTTACAAATAAGAATGTGGAGCGTTTTCAACCGCATATAGTGGGCTCGAACCATGGACCGTCCAATTTGTAACATGGCATACTAGACACACCCGGCTCACCGTACTTGAACTAAATTCTTGTTCATATTTTAGTTGAGGTCGTTTAATCAGTGCAGTGATTTGTCTTTTCTGTTTATACGACCACTTTAACTACTGTCTCTCAGAATCATTGAATTGTAACAACAATTGTTTGCAAATTGATACACATTTTCATTATATAAATTTTTAGACGTGGCGTAGCGGCTCATAGAATGTGTCTGAGTTTTTCAAGTACAAACTGACAGAGATCCTGCTGAGTAATAAAATCGAAACGGGTATACGCGCGCCCCACGCTTGGTATTACTGGCGTACAAAATATAGCTAATAAAAAGGTCTCGTAGATTAATTTACTTTAATCCTGCCAAAAAGAATTTGAAATTGAGGGTAGGTTGATAGAGATCCTGATAAGTAATAAAATTGAATCACGCTTGATATTGCTGGCGCACAAAAACATAGCTAATAAAAAGAAGAAAAAGGTCTCGTAGATTAATTTACTCTAATCTTGCCTAAAAGAATATCAAGTGCTGCGGCTATTGAGTATTCCCTCAACAGTTGTACTGTTGAAAACTTGCTATTTTAGCAAGAGCTTTATTACTTATAAACTGTACACTGTGAATATACAAATAACGATTACTTATAAGAAACTACTGTAATAAGAACCACCATTGAAATGATTACCACAAGTTATTTCATTTCCATTTTCTCCGAAGGCCAAATAGTTATGAAGTAATAATAATTTCCGTTGATGAATTACAGAAAAGGAACGGTTTTCTTCTATTTTAATTTTGTGGGCACAGGCAGCTCATTGTGTAGCTTTGCACTTAACAACAAATAAATGAAACTATTTTAATTTTAAACAAGTATTAATGAGACATTACAAAGGACCGTGACAACCCGAGCACTTTTAGAAAATAGTAGTCTCTTCATAAGGAATGAATTAATACATTGGCAAAGGCTTTCTTTCCGAAAATATTATGGTTATCAGTTTAATTTATTTTGTGATACCACGTGTTTTCCAAACTCTGTTTTTTTTTTATAAGACATTAAAATTTTTGTAATCAGCAATGGTATAACCTGGTCTTTATTTATATATTTTTTTATTGATAACACTTTTGAATACGTTTGCACGCTAAACAGATGTCTTTTCAACTTGTAAAACTGTCTCAACCAGGATGGAAGTGCTATAACATAGGATGAATCTGTTTTCTTATTATATTCATCTTGTAACTATCTGTTATCCTATCTTTAAGCACAGTGATTGGACAAGGTCTATAATAAGAAAATACATCTCCTCATAATGAAACTTTTCTCACTTAAATACACTGCAATCAGGCATGGGGGTTTGCACTTCTCTAGGCTTTCTTGGCATATATTTAAGTAAATTTGGCTAATACATCTAGATAATTTTTCCCACTGCTGTTAAATTTAGTTTGTTACATTGCACCAATGTTACAGAGATTGAGTTTGTTATATCAAAATGGTTTTTAATCTTCACTATGTCCGTCTATGCTTTAACTGATTATCTTACATCTTGAAATTAGCCCTAAAGTGGAGTATCCATTGGAAAAAAAATACTCCATCATAGGAATTTCGTGTTCAAATCACACCACTCCTCCCTATAGACTTCCCATAACCTATTTGTCATAAGGGGATGACAGTTACCTAGTGCCCATTTCAACAGCCTGATCCCACACAAATTCCATATTTAAATGTATCTGAATCAGATATTAACATTTTTTCCTCTCTGCCCATTTCAGGCATGATAAGTTTATCACAGTTTGAGATGCAGTGTTGTTGTTAGCTGGTTGTTTAGCTTTGGTTTTAAGTTTCAAATTAGGAGCGCTTTCTTTTTCCAATTATTTTGGACGTATTCGATGTTAGGCTTCTTGCTACAGCACTACCAACATGACTAAACATTCTCATTACAACACAGGTGAGAGGTAACCTCTAAATATCACTTGAACAACCATTAAAATACAATGCTGTTGACATTATCACTCAGCATTGCATTAAGCAATGTCCTCCGTGGGCAATAATAAATGTTACCTACTTCAAGAACAACAAAGGTAACTTAATGGTTTTCTTAACCATGTATTATGTGAAATCTGCATATATTCAAAACAAATAAAATTCAGAATAAGTGTTATAATACTATAAGAAGATAGCAACTCAATGGTACATTCAAATTCCAGAAATGTATGAATATTTTGCAGTGTTACATATCCTTCTCAAAAGTTATTAATTTTCGATGGTATCATACTACCTACAAAGGCTAAACAATGTCAAAATGTAATTCTGATACATTCCATTGTGACTTTAGATTGGCTGTGGTTGTCACGTGACTTGCTGATATGCATATTCAAAATTGTTTTAATATTACATACTCAGTCCTATGTAGCTTCTTGGAGTAATGAATGTTTGTGTACATAACCAAATTACAATGACATCACAGTTGATTGAGCTCATGACATCTCTCTCACAAAAACTGTTTACTGGCATCTAACATTGAATCTTGATAATATTTTAGCTTTTTTTTATATTTAACAATCCAACTTTTCTATGAAATCATGGTCTTCTTGTTGTTGTTGCTTTTTTGTACATGAGATTTAACTAATTGCAGTTCATGTCGACATCACCTTGAAAAACATCATTCTTGAAGCATTAGTATTTTGTTCTCCTTTGGCAGACTTTTTTCAATTCTGTTTAGTTTTTCTTTCACTACATTACAGAAATGAAAAGATAACTATTATAGTAAGGATGTTATAGATGTATGCACATTAGACTTGTAGGATTGGGGGTTGTATTTTCAATAATCAGGTTTGTTCATTTATAGTAAGGAGATATAATGCCTAATGAAACTATTAGTGTTTCAACATTTTTTCTAACCCCTGTATATATATAGAATTCAAAAACTGAACTAACACACAAACTAACATCAAGCATGTAATTTTCATTTCAACTTCAGATAAGCAAATCAATTATTAATACACAAATAGACGTGCACAAATTTTGAAGTAAACAAGAATGTAACTTTCTCTTGCATATGTATAATGAGAATAGTTGCTCCTGTAGAATATCCTCCATTGTGGGATACCATGCTAGGGCTTGCTCTGACCTAAATTTGGTATAGACATAATTCTTGTGATTTTTTGTTGACTAAAGAAATATTTTCCTCCTCCCCTCCAGCAGCCAGATAGTTACAGACAACATTGCATAATCTTAAGCCTTCTTTCTACTTGTGTATGAGGTATCTAGTTCATTGGATTATTTGCTCTGGAGCCTTTCCCTTTTTAAACTTAATTGGTTACTATTATCCAAACATCTTCCCTACCTTTGCTAAGTATATGTATATTCATAAGTTGATCTTGTTATAGTAATCAGTTTTATATACTGAATGACTTTGGTGGCAATGGAAACAAAGTGAACATCAAAAATATACAAGGCTGAGATGTCAAGTATAGTTTGTTACAATACTGAGCAGAAATACAAAGTAGTTCACAGGCTTAGTCACACATATTATTCTTTGATGCATAAAAAAAATGAATAAAGCCTAACTTTTCATATGCAATGGTAGGAAAACAGTTATTTTGTAAATGAAAGAACACTGCAAATGACTGCACACACAACACATCCTAACATTTAGGACTATTCATTAGGGCAGAATGAAGGTTTCTATTGTTTCTGAATACTCATCTTGTAGGACTTTTAATACACATCTGTTCTCAATAGTAAAAATAAGTTTCCTTTTATAGTGGTAATTTGATAGTATATACTCAATTATTCTCATCTCAATTTAAGATTAGTTTATTGGGAATTACACTTACTAATGTGCTATAAACAGAGAACATACTTCTATTTTCAAAAAATTAAGTTGAAAATGAAGATATAATTTGAAAAATAAATGTCTAGATAATGTAATTTAGCTGAAAACATAATCAAAGTTACATATTTTTTACTCAAAATTGACCACCAAAGAACAAAAGCTTGTAAACAGATACACACAAAATATCATAGTTTTTAACTCAGGGGTGAAGCAGCATGGTTATGTCATAAAAAAAAAAAGATAATTATGAAAAGTATTGTTTTATCAAATAATACCTATATAGTAAAACATTTAACAAAGAAATGCAGCTAAAACATAGTAAGTGTAAAAACAAATCTTTTAAGTTATGCAAGAAAGAAATTTGGTCAAAAATTTGCTAAACACATTTCAATCATGGAAACGTTATTTGGTCTAAACATTCACTTCTATCGGTCCTTGAAACTAATCTGTATTTCTTTAAACTGTGAAGCTTATAGTTTTTCGTTTTTTTACTGAAAAATACAATAAATAGCAATAAATGAATACTTATTTAAATACTTAAACCACATTAACTAAAGCAGAATAAACTGACTTTCAAGGCTTATTAAAGTTAATCTTTACAAAATACAATGTAAAAATAATACAGAGAATACCACAACTCTAGTTCACCTAGTCAGTAAAGCTAAACTCAGTAACATTCAAAGTGTAGGATGAAACTTTGTATTTTTACTAGTTTTTGATAAATAATGGTGAAAACTATTAAAAAAAATCACATTATAGTGTCATTCACATCTTTTACAAGATATAAATGTGGTTAGTTGAAGTGTAGATATTTTAGTAAGTGTTAACTCATTTTGTTTTGTTGACTATAAGTGTAATTAAACAAAAATATATATTGACAATAATCCATAAAAGTGCATAGATTTTTGACTTAGAAAAACAAAATATTGAAACTAATTCAAAAAATTATAATCAGACAGAAAAAAATGCAGTATATAAAGCTTCACTTTTTCTGTTGTATTCTAGAAACAACTAAAGCCCTGGAAAACAAACACAAATTCCAAAATTTGGAAATTAGAACAATGTAGCACAGCATGATGAGATGGACAAACATTACAATGAAATACTGCCCTACAATATTTATTGCAATTACATTACAAATGTTTCACACCAGTAAAACTCTAAAGTACAAAATTCCTCTTAAAAAACTTTCTGATAGGATATTGCCTAGCACCTGACTCGTTTGTGTGTTTAATTACTATGGGAAAAATTGTTATTGAAGGGTCGGACAAAACTCATGGTTTTGTTGTAGAAAAAACTGTTTCTGCAGACGTAACTACCTTTTCACCTTATTCCCTAAGATATTAGTTACCTTATTAATTTCATATATATATCTTTTGCTCAGAATAAATGACTGGAAAATAAGAACTAAATATAACTGTATCAGCATTAATCAAGAATATGATTCTTGCATCATAATGTGAATCAGAAAAATTGGGAAGTACCTGTAACCATCACCCACGGCTATGTACGTTACACTTCCTTGATAGTTTTAACACACATGCATTATCGAAACAAGTACTTTTCTCAAGATTAAAGATCAGTCTTACATCGTTCACTTAAGATAATGGAATTAAACTGATTTAAGATATAAACAAATCATATGTTGGTTGGGTTTAGAGAGTAAATAAACACATTTATGACTATTCATAAAAACAAAATTTAACACACTTGTATTAGGCTACTGGTATTACAATCTGTAGTTTTCCAGGTATATCTAAGTAAAGCGTAAAGCAAATTTACACACAGTTGTGGAATATTATGATGAAAAAAATCAAGTACATGTATCATGTTGAATATAGTTTATATCAACATTATAAACTAAAATATTTTGGATAGAACAGAGAAAATCCAGATACAGTAGTAAGGGAAGACAAGTTTCAAGTGCAAATGGAAATAAATGTCCAAGTAAGCCAAGATTCAAACTCTTTTTTTGAAGAAGCCCAAAAGTTTGTGAGTACAGACAAAATTACTAGCAAAGACATAGCAAATCTTTTCTTCTTTCACAGAGGACTTCAACATGTAACATGACCAGGTTCAATTTTCCCAGAGTTAATGAATCTAGGCTGGCAATTTCAATGCTTTTCCTTTTATTACTGAAAAAAAATAATATTTATGAATTTCTTTGATATAGAGAAAAATATAACATGAAATACAATCTTTCCTACACTTTAAAACAACTGAACAGATGGTTAAACGTTTTAGGTAGGTGTAAAAGCTTTATTTACCATGCAATACTCTACCTAAAGTATAAGTTTTTTGCTGCAAAATATCTTTGAAATTATGTTCCAGCTAATTTTTTACTTAATTTATATTGGTTAAACATGCAGTACTCTAATACTGTATTTAATATGCCTGGTTAAACATGTATATTTGTAGCATTTAAGAAAGAAAGAATAATTATGAAGTTTTACACATTCTAACATTAGTTTACTATCTTATCAAAATAGTAGTAACACTTCCTAATTGTGAAATTCTTTCAGTAAGATACTAAACATGAACTAAAATTAATTAAATAGAAAAGCTTTTCCAAAAGCCTATCTTAAGCAAGAAAATTGGTTTGGGTAAAGAATATGAATGATAAGAATCTATGTTCTCTACAGTTCTAGAATTCTGCCTAAATTTGTCATAAACTAAGTATTTCCTCATAAGCATAATTTAGAAGAAAATAAATTTTTCACCATCATTCTTGATTACAGTACTTCAATTCAGATATAATTTCAAATCACTATTTGTTTGCACTCCTTCCAGTAATTAAATATCCCTTTTATTATAAGACTGAAATAAGGTAATTTAACACACAAAGTTAGTTTTTTCTAGATTTCAAATATTATGGATGAAAGATCAGTAATGAAACCTTTTGCTCTGCTTCTTCAGAGCAACTGTCTGCCTACAGAAAATTAACTCACCTCTAGTAACATACAAGTAAAAAAAGTCACAGTACAGCACAGTCTGGACAACTCCAGCAACAATGGCAATCAGATCATAGAAACCCTCAAAGTAGTATCGATAGATCCAATTAAAAATGTAAAGAGCACGGTACAAGCCTAAACAGAACAAGTAGTGGGAAGTGATTGTTTCAGCATCTCCAGTTTTCGATACCATAAACAGCTGAGGCAGGATGGCAACAGATTCCAAATAGATCGAAAAAGTCCATAAAACCTGCATGAAGTATAATAATTTTTGTTATATGTACTTTTCCCTTTTGTTCTGCCTATGAATATTCTCATAAAATCACACTTATCTTTTATTATGTACCTTTACATTGATAACACTTGTAAGTAAAAAAAATTAAATCTAAACATTTAAGTAGAAAAATAAGTTTTTATTTAACAACTTTTAAAAAATTACTAACACAATATATTCTTTAAGTTTACCTATAAAAAGACTTAACTATACCTAAAGGTATATCAAATACTCAGTAAAATTACATAATCCAATATACTCAACATTTAAAAATAAAAAATATATAATAATTAATTATTGTACCTCAAGTGGAGTAAAATCATGGTTAATCAAAAGTCCCAAGATGGTAACAGGAATCAGAAGAAACCCAATACGGAAAGTGTCATGATTATGATCATATGTAGCTTTGAATTTCACATACATCAGGTAGATAGTTGCACATGATGTTGAAATGAAGAAAACTTTCATGACAGAGTTGTAGAGAGAGATAAAGTTTGTAAAAAGATCAAGATACCGGGTAGTATAGACAAGAGCAAATAGAATCTGACTCCTTCCTGATATACCTGCAAAACAAGAATACAAAATTTTATGGAACACACATTTTTAAAGGATGATTAACTACAACTAGTCCTTATCCACTAAATATTCATTAACCCTTTTCTGAAATTTTTGTAAAGTTGCAGCTTCTATAACTCTAGTTGGTAATTTGTTCCACAGTCTTATCACTCCAGTGGAGAAGAAAAATTATTTCAGCTGGAGATGTGTATGACCTTTCCAAATCTTAATTTATGAATCCTTGTTCTACTATCCTCAGAATTCAACTCAAAAACATTTGATGTCTGAATACCTGAACTAGATCACATGTAATCCTTTTTTCAGGAAAAAACAGGTTGTGATATCTTAGCTTACATTCATATGACAGCATTCATAAAATGCTTAACATGCTTTAAAATGGTTAACTTTAAATAACTCTATTTAATATGCATACAAATATTTCAGTTACCTATTTTACTTGTTTAAGGATAAAATAATACATCTATTTGTAACTCTCAATTAGTCATGTGGGGTCATTATGACCCCATGCTATTTCTTTAATTAATTATTATGCGATAGATGGCACTTTACCTAGCCTTGCACACAGTAGCTTTCTTAATTGTATGTCTATCCATGTTGCAGTCTTCACCAGTATTCTGCATTGTAGGTTTTTGCAAAGTTTTAGATAGGGATCATATTTACTTCAGACAACTACTTGAATTATATCTGTTTGCAAGGTCAGTTTGATTTTAATGTACTTGATTTTTTCTTAGTTTATGGCTAAAAGATGTCTTTTTATTCTTTTCTGGCATTTCTCTGTTTAATAGTTTGTTTTAGATGATATATAATTACATCTTGTACAACTATATATTGCCACTTTGGCTTTTATTTTATACAAATGGCTAGAAAATGATTTATTGCCACTGCAATACATTTTAATATCGTAAACCATAGTCTAAGGCTTTCATTATTGTATTTTGCTTACAAATAAGAGTTTGAATAAAGAAAACAAAGTTTGAGCTTCATAATAATTTAAATACTGCCTTGGGGTATAATGACCCCAGGCATCACACACATTCCATTTTACCATGCGACTAATTGAGGGTTAAATGCATTTTTATCTGTAACCCTTCAACTTAACCTGAAATTATTCTGGTACATATAGACTAAAACATCATCAAACCATGCTTTTTTGACTTGTAATAATAACACTCTTTCTTTAAGAGCAATATCCCATATAAAGTTTAGGGTGAGAGCACCAGCTGTTAGCAATAGCAAACACTTTTTTTTTTTTCTCTCTTTTGGACATCATATGTTTTACAGTTAGAGCAGGACAATTAGTGGAATTTGCTACTTGATTAATTGTCAAGCTCATTAAACAATTACATTGAACTGATCAATTATTCTCATATAAGATAGCTATAAAAATAACATCAAATAATGCTAAGTCAGGTTGTGATACCTGCAACAGGCAGAGCACAGATAGCCCATTGTGTAGCTCTGTGTTTAACAACAAAGAAATATAACGGCAATATTCCAATTACTTGGATAACTAGATTAATAACAAATAGTAATATTCATAAACCCTAATTTTGATTGGTTAATTATTTTTGTGAGTTGTGATACTAATTTATTAAACAGAATAAGCTTGAATTAATCTAAATTAATAATGAAAAAATATTAATGGCAATATTTGATTACTGGATAATAATTGAAAATGGTGAAACAGGAAACATTATTTTCAATTAGTTAATTATTTTTGTGACATTAATTGTTTTAATCATAATTTTGATTAAAGGATAATTGGAATAATCAAGCAGTAATAATTGAAAATAACTGTTGATTACTTTCATACGATCAATTTAAACATAATCAATTATTTTATGTGACACTAATGGATGTAATATATGCTCATAGTCAACTAAAGTTCTCTTTAAATATAAGTACACAGATGTTTTATTTTGATAAAAGAGTTAGCACAAAGGATCACATATAAGGTGTAATAGACTTAAAATAAGACCCAAAACTCAAGCACTTTCAAATAGTTGACTATTCTTCTTCAGGAGAAAAAGATGTTTTATTCTTCATTAATTTACAAGATCACAATGGATGTAATATACACTAGTGGTCGTTCAAGTATTCAGAGTAAGTAATACAAGACAGGGATCGAAATAGTGAAATAAAATTACATTCACTTGAGGGAAAGCTATTTGGAAGATTACATTCCCTCATGTAAAGTTGCATTTCCTCATGAATTGTTTTTTTATTATTTAATCCATGCAATATGTTAACTTTCATTGGTCACAACTAAAGGAATATGGATGGGCTACACATTCTGGATTGGGAAAGCCAACTAAAAAGATGAAATTCTTCAAGGAAAGTTAAATTCCTTGGGAATGTTATATTTCAATCCATGCAATATGGTTAATGAATTCTGAAATCTTGTCTGTAGCTTGTAGCAATATACAGCAACACAATTCATAGTCAAAATAAAATAAAACAAACTTCCATTCTAAGATGTGATGATTACCAAGATACATAACTCATATACCACTGAAGCTTACAAGAAATGCACATATACTGGTAAATACTTCAGCCATAAACCAAATCACCCCAATAATATAAAGCCACCATAGACTGCCTAGTTTCCAGAATAAATAACTTTTGTAATACTGAAATTACTAAGAACAAGAAAGAAAACACATCAATACAACGATCCTTGACAATGGATGCCCTAAACACTTTATAAAGAAAATAAACACCAAGAATAAGAAAAAAAGAAGACAACACACACACAGCTATATTCCTCAATGTCAAAAGTCTCTTTGAAAACATACTGGTGATATGTAAACATAAAGTCAAAACAATGTTCAAAAACCATAAAACTCTATGATTGCAGTTAGTACACAACAAACCACTTAAAAAACAACAGACAGCAAAAACACAATATCTGCTGTGAAAATGGACTTTTAATACATTAGAAAAATGTAAAGACAAACGAGGAAAATAATAAGATTCTAATATTAATTTATCTGCAATAGCCCATAATACCATAATACAATGAAATGAGCTAATATAAAAATAATGGTATAAGGACCACACACAAGAAAATGAAAAATAAAAGAAGCCTTTTACAACCACCTAAATGACAACACACTTAATCAACATACAAAATAAATCAGCAAAACTAGACACCTCTCTTGAAAGCATTCAACAAAATAAGGATATATAATTATATAATTTAACACACCTTCATGCCTATTTTTATTTCAAAACACAACTGCATGATTTCAAATTTGATGGCAAAAAATCCACTTTTTAAAAAATAAAGTTTGGAGACAGCTTGAACGGGTAGTGAAAGAAACTTCATTACAAACATCCAATGTCATCATCAGGTACCCGAGATAGTTGTACAGTATGACAGATTTACGGTGGTGGGCAAGTGAAGAATCATACTAAAAAGATATATATAGGATAACAAAGACAAACATTTAGCCTTACAAAACCTTGAGTAATTACTGTGATGAATTCAAATTTGATGGCAAGGAACCTACTTTTTAGAAAATAAAGTTTCGAGATGGCTTGAATGGGTAGCGAAAGGTACCTAATGATGATATAAACTTGTCAAAACATTGCACACCTATATAAGTACAATAGTACTGTCTGTTGTCTGTCCATATAACTACTTTACAGGTTGTTGATGTATTTTCACCAAAATTGGTTCATTAAGTCTATGCAGGGGTACATACAAATTTTCATTTTTTATGGTTATTTTTGTTTTTTCTACCACAACTTCACCTCCTGTTGATGGATCTTCACCAAATATTATTTGAAGGTTCATTGGCTCCATGGGTAGCTACACAAATTTTCAGTTTTGCATTTTGTGGTTCTTATGGGCATTTTTTTGTTCTTTACCACTACTTCACCTCCCTGTTAATGAATCTTCACCAAATTTGGCATGAAGGGTTGTTGGGTCCATGGGGAGATGCATACAAATTTTCAGTTTTGCATTTTGCAGTTTTTATGGGCATTTTTTACAATTACATATAAAGAAAGCAACTTTTTATGTCCTAAGATAACATTTCATTAATCATGAATTTACATAATTTCCATCCAGGGGACGGGTACTCCAGCTAGTTTGTAATAAAATTTCTTTGACTACCCATTCAAACTATACAACTGCATATTAGGATATTTTTATAATACCCAGTACATGTAGAAATATTAAAGATAGATGCCACAGTATAATTATTAGACTAAGGTGTTTATGTTTGAGGACAAGTTTTGGAATTATTCTACGGATACTTTGAAATGAAGTAGAGGCTATTACAGATACTTTTACAAGACTAGTTAGTCCTCATTTGGAGTGTTATGTTCAGTTTTTATTTTCTTATAAAACCAGAAAAGCCTAAACAGTTCCATTTGTGGGTGCAGAGAGACTAGAGGTAATGTGATTGTTGTGTTCAGATAGAGAAATTACCTGAGGAAAGATGTCTGTTAATAACATACTATTAGTAGGATTAGTGGTAACTTGAGTATCAGCACTATCAGTATCTTTTACATTTTTTGAAATCTGTATGGGTCTACTGTGATTTGATTTTAAAAAAATGGGAACAGGACAGGATACATCTTGATTAGGGTTATCAGACATCTTATAAAACTGGGATCATCTCAGTTTTAATCCTTTTTTTGTTCAAATCAGAAACAGTAAAAGTATTACATTGTCCAAGTTTCTCTATATCTCAGTTTGAGTTTGATAGTATGGCTCCTTTAAATTCCACTTTAAGAATCACCTGACAAAGGTAGGTTATAATGTATAGTGTTCCCTCCCTCTTAGCTGTTTGCTTAACCTAACCTGTCATTGACAACCTTAAAAACTGAGATTTGAAGAGCTGTCCAGCTGCAAAATATAAAATTAAGAAAAAAAAAATTTGTTTTTTTAATTGGTTCAAGACAACTTAAGCATATTTTCTTCACTATTATTATTATCTAGCTAAACTTTAAAAAATTTTGTCTACAATTTTAAAATGCAACACAATAAACATTAGATTATTTAGCAAATGGTAAAGTGTTATTGTAAGTTAAACTGTTCAAGAGCTGTTACAGTGTCACTCCATATATGGGATGAGGGGGTCCCGGTTTTTTAGTCTAGAAATCTAATAACATTAGTCTTGATACTTTTGGAAGTTTCACCTATTTGTTTCTAGTCAGATGTAAGCATCATATGCAGAAGAATACAAGAGAGCTGATAGTAAGTTCTCAGATTGTTTTGTTTAAGCAGAATTGTTTAAATTACATTTTGTTTTTAATGAACAAGAATACACACCTGAGATTAAAACTTAATAATACGCGGTAAAACTTATTTTGTCTGGAGACTAATGTTTGTTGTTAAAATGTGTTCAGAGATACGACTTGGGTGATGCTATTATCAATGGGTTGAATGACCTGTACTGTTGCTTGTTGTAGATTTGTGCGAAAATTCACGTTTAGTACAAGTTCCCATCCGTTACTAACCAATTATGAGTAATATGACTACGTCTAAGTCTATCCTACATCTAACAGTAAACCAAGTTATACTGTATCTTGTGTAACACTGTGCAAGTCTAACTTTCTTAACTTACAAAAGTTACGTGCACTTATGCTACGACGAAGATTAAGTTTACAACTCAAGTTATTTGTCTGGTGAATTAGTATTAGTACTGCTTTTCATACCTGCACAAGACCTTGTTTTCCATATTTTTAACAACAATATTATAATAGCCAAGAGATGAGATAAATCTCCAGCAAGCCGAAAAACGTTCATTATTAAGCTGAATAAATAACTCTTTGAAAAATCTCTTTTAAAAGTTTAACTTTAGAAACTGACGTGGCTAATGCATGTTGACTCCTACAGAGGATACTGGCGACACTTGTTTCTTTTTCTTTTTTTTAGCTAAAGGGACCTATTGTGTATTTGTTAAATATATTTAGCCAATTATTTTTTCTGTAACTGTTATATGTTCTAGATGTAAACTATATATTTTATGTTAATCAAAGTAATCAATTAAAATTTTAGTTCTATAAACTTCAAGAATAGTGCCTAATCGAACCTACATAAGGATTAAAATAAATATATTATTTCAGAAATTACATAAAAATATGATGGGGACCTATACTTGTAAGCTATCTATTGTTTTGTTAGTTTTTGTTTCTTAGCGCAAACTTACACAATGAGATATCTACACTCTTTTCACCGCGGGGAAGCGAACCCAGAATTTTACCGTTGTAAGTTGGTAAACTTAACGCTTATATCCATTGAGGTGCGTCAGCTATCTACCAAATCACAATCACTAGATAATCAACAATAAAACAAAGTTTCAATACAAACATAATAAAATAAATTTATTTTTATGATAAAGTTTTAAAATCACTAAATGGTGAAGCAGAATTCTGTTGTTGTTTTCGCGTGTGTGTTTTTTAATTTTCTCAAAACCCAGCTGAAGTTTTTGAGTCATAAGTTTGTGTTTAGTCATCTTACTTTTAAAATCTTTTTAAGAAATTCAGATACGAACAATTCTAAGATGTTCTTTAGTGCTACCAAGATGGTCTATAGTCCTCTAAAGTCAGAAACTGGCCCACTGCTTTCAGAAGACGGCACCAGAATCATCAAGGACAAAGATGGCATAATGTCTTCCAAATAATTATAAATCGGGATATTTTGGGTGTGGGTATTTTTTAATTGCTCTGGTTTCTTTCAGAGTAGCCTGCAGAAATTACAAAAACATGAGGATTTGTCAATTAAATACTGTATCACGGATCAGGACTGTGTCCTCTCGATCTTTATCTGAGTTCTTAAACAAAATGCAGAGACTGGACACAGATTTGCAAACAATCACAATTTTTATTGAAACAAACACAATCAAAGTTAAGCCTAAAAACTTAAACAAATAATTTGTATCAGCTACGGAAAGAAAATGAACATTGCTGATGCTCTCTCACCAGTATGACTATATTTCTATTATGCTAGAGTTTAAGTCGTGCTACACAAAATTTAGGTATTTGATAAAAAGTATATATTACGCAGAAATATCTCAGCAAAATCTCAGTACATTCTCAGTAGAATATCAATTCTTGTGAAAAGCAATCTCATCCAAAATATGTTTATGCTTACAAAACAAAGAAAAATGTAACATGTTAGTGCACACACTAATTATGTGACTTAGAGCCACTCTCATGTCAACAAGGAGTGGAACATACCCAAGACAATCCCATGGTTTGCAACTAAAACAGGCCACTCCGATTTTCATATCATAGCTAATCTTTTAGTAAAAAAAAATATTCATATTGTTGCGTCATCGAGGTCACGTGACTGGTGTGGCACCCTCTAGTTTCTAGAACTATCTTGTTCCTTCATGAATGCTCTAGTATTTACTAGATATAGGGTAGTCGGGTATATATACGAGGGGGACAACGTGACGCGGAAATGAAATGTGTGTATAGAC